TGATACAGTGTCCCTTCGAAATGAAACGTGTTTTCTATTTTTTGTTCCCAACAACATTTCACAGCAGTCCCAAGTTTCATCTCATTTGTTCCCAACAATGTTTCACAGCAGTCCCAAGTTTCATCTCATGGCTGAAATCTTGATGCAAATGACATCCGTTGGGAAGGCTGTTTACCAATTTTTAATAATGGTAACTCCACTGAAAACAATGCACAATTACAGCCAAGCCTACAGCGGATGTTTGCATCAATCTTGGAAAATCTTCTGGTTTAGGATTTGTATTTCCTCATGTGTGCAGCAATGGAAGCAGAAATCTCAGTGCTCTTCTTACTCTGGCCATAATAGTCCACAAATTCACCATCTGGCCCAAGGAGATACATTATGATTGTGTGATCCACCTGCAAGAGAGCACACAGCTGCTTGGTAAAACAGATCCCACACACCTATCAATGTCTGCAGCAACAGTGCCCCACTCAGCTTTCAGTTCATTAGCTAGAGCCAACCAGGGAACAACTTAGCAGCACCTTGTACAACATTTGTTGTTTTACATCATGCCCCCACCCCATCAATAAAAGAGAAAACTAGTATGTTCAAGATGTGTGAAAGAATACTGAAAGCAGAAAGGTCTTTCCTGAGCTGCATGCACCCTCCCCTCAGCACAGATGGGACTGAGGACAATGTAAGGAAGGTACAAACTAAGGCACTTTCCCCTCCTCTCTTTTCACCATTTTCCTCTGACTCTCCCTGTCCTTCTTAACTCCCAAGGTATTCAAGCTTCTGATGTGAGTATGATGCAAATTCTATATAAATTAAGGTATTTCATTAAACCAAATACCCTGTCGGAGCAAACAAAGGTCTAAGGATACCACTGGGTGGCGAAAGCTGTGGATATAGGATGCGGCAAGGAAGGAAATGCAGTGTCCTGGGAAGGGGCTCCCTCTACTGTCTGCTTATTCACATTTACAGAAATCACAGTGCAGTCAGAGAAGTGGTAATTGGAAAGAATCAGAAATAATCTAAATAACACCATTGCAGGTATGATCTGCACCTAACTATGACGACATTTCCTAAGAGCAAAGACATAATATACTGAAAATTGCAGCCACAAATCGGCAAGCCCTTCCTCCAGTACATAATTTTAGGCCCACTGGAGAAAAAGAAGCTGTTTGTGAAAGTAAGTTTGCCTTTGCATTTAAGAAAGCACATTAGCATCTGCATCAATAGAAGCTAAAATGTGTTAAGTTCTTTTCTGCAGTCAAAGGAATTTTTGTTTCTTAGTATTTTTATTGATGTAGGCTTAAGTCAACTATTTTAATAGGTTTAAGGCAATTATTTTCCTCTAGATTTTTAAATGTTCAAGATACGATCACAAAAATCAACTACCAGGAGCTATAATTTTTAAAAGATTAAATCACAGTTCAGATCCTGTTGTCTTTCAGCTGGAAACCAGGGCAAAAAATGGAGTTGCCTGCTCAGAATACCTTAATTTTTCTCGTCTAAGAAAGATTAAATACAGCCTCATTATTTAATAGTAACTTACTGATCTCAGTTTGGCATGGGATGATTTGTTACTCACTTTTTCTTCCTTTCTTTCTTGTCTATTACCTTCCACAGTTCCACAGCTATATTTTCACTTTGAGGAATATGGGAAAATGGCATAGAACAACATTCTGACTAAGATCACTGAGAAAATCTAAACACGAATATTTAACATGACTCTATCATATAGGAGCTCAGCACATACTGTAACAGTTGCCTTCCAATTTAAAATCTACAACCTACTTTATTCCCAGTCTACTATCAGGCAATGGCCCAACATTTACTCACTATGTAATCACTGTCTTCGTCTTTGGGACCTTCGCTGTAATACACACGGTAGGCTTTGGCCACTTGCCAAATCTGTTCTTTGGTACCAGTCAATCCAATCAGCTTAGGAGAAAATTCTACATGGGAAGAAGACATTTAGACATTTTACATATTTTAGTGAAAAGAATACTACTGAGATCTTCCTTTTCAATGCTCTATATTACATGTAATAAAACAATGAGGAAGAAAAAAAACTCAGTACCTTTAACATATCTGGCAATAGCTTCTTCATTGTCCCTTTCAGGATCAACGGTGATGAAGAGTGGAGTCAAATTTGGCAAAGATGGAATTTTATCTGTGATGAGAAAGATTAACAAATGTTATTTTCCTCAGAAAACCACCTCGCAGCTCCCTCCAAAAAAGTAACAATCAAGCTACTGTAACATGAATCTACATCAATTCTAAGTAAAAAAAAACCATATATTCTGTGCAGATGAACTTATATATTACAAGTTCTGAAAGAAGTCAGGGACACAAAATCCAACACTGCTGCACTTCTCTCTCTTGACTCTCTGGGACACCCTGCCATACTTATAAGAAGTGAAAAACCAGCTCTCGTGCCAGGGCACGATCCACAGATCAAGGTGTGATGGTGGCTCCAGTGAAATCATGCCAGTGACAACGGAACGGGTGCAAAGGTGAAGCCGTAGTCCAGGATCATTTCCTCATGTTCCAGTCATATCCTCCACACCCCTGCTTCCTGCATTATATCTTCTGTATTATAGTTCATCCTTCTACCTGCTTAGCTACTATTATTCCTGTTCTGTAACTCTGCAGCCTGAGAAAAACATTTGTACCAAAATACAGTGATTCTCAGAAGTCTAAAAGGGTATTAGAGTCACAGGATTCCTGAAAACAAGGGAAAATACCCAAAGGAGGCCAAGATGAACCTTCAGTGTCATACAGAGGTTCAAAGTAAAGATGAAAGCTAGAAAAGTCTTTTAAGAGGATGAACCATAGAGACTGGCAACATGTTACTGTGCTAAGTCCAATCAAATTCAGTGTTGTTGCTCCATAGCCTTTACCTCCTATTAAATCAACATTGAGCAGACTGCTTTTTCCCAGGAACATGCAAGTATTTTTGCAAAGAAACAAATACTCAGTGAATGAACACAAGAAAGCACAAGTGAGAAAGAATAAGCAATAGAAATAACATCTCTGGGCAAAATTATTTAGTCTGTGACGGCACTGTTCTCTCTTCCATCATGTTCCTGAGAAGTCCCTAAGTCCCCAGCTGCAGAAAGGGCAGCCTCATCATGCTTTAAACATCAACCTCACTGACATTCCACCAAGCTGCAGACAGGTTCGTGCATAAATCTGCTGATTTGCAAAATCGCTGAGGGTGGAAAGGACCTCTGGAAATCATCAAATCCACTCTCCCCAGCTCAACTAGGTAACCTAGGACTGTGCCCAGGTGGCTTTTGGGTATTTCCAAGGATGCAGACGCTACAACTTTCCAGGGTAACCTGTTCCATATGCTGTTATCCTCACAGAGATTTTTTTTTTTTTTAAAAAAAAAGCATTCAGCTAGAACTTCCTGCATTTTGGATTGTGCCCACTGCCTCATGCTCCTGTCACCGGGCACCACCAAAAAAGCCTGGCTCCATCTTCTTTATATTCTTTCTGCAGATATATATACACATCGATAAAACCCTCCCCTTAGCCCTCTTGTCTAGGCTAAACAACCCCAGCTCTCTCATCCCTTCCTCAACTCAGATACTAACTAGTAATTAACGCTATTTTTTCACAAGATCATCACTTACCATCATACCTAGCATTTCACAACAAACTCTTCTAAATATAACCTCCATATTATTCAAATTCACATACCAATTTCTTCTACTACTTCAATCATCTTCTCCAGTTCATCAGGACAGATATCAGGGCAATGAGTGAAGCCGAAGTAGATGAGCACCCACTGGCCAAGGTAGTCCTTGTCGGTCTTGGGCTGTCCCTCATGATTAACAAGAGAGAAGGGCCCTCCCAGGAGTGGTTTCCCAATACCTCGGTTCCGCTCTTTCTCCAGCTCTAAAAGAAACAACTGTAGATCATAAAGTTCCAGGACACGTACTCACCCCTTCCCAGTCACGTTTCAAAATCATTTAACAACACCTCAAAACATCAAGATCAATAGTCATTGTAAAGCCCAACACGAAGAAGACTTCAGAGTAGAGCATCTGATTTTGAGCGAATTCCTCTATCAAATGCATCACAATTCCTTTGAAATATACATCTCTTTCACTGCCATCCAAACAGATCTTTCATTTTTTTTCTTTTTCAAGACAGACAAGTACATGGCCTGGGCTGGTTTTAAACAAACAAAGGCAACTTCATAAATTCAACACATGAGAGCAACTATGCTATACCTGAGTTTCTGGCTTAAAGACATGAAAATTAACACAGCAAGCAGTCGCTGCAGAATGAGTAAACACATACAGAAATAACATATATAGAGATCAATGCGTTCGAAAAATACTACCTGCAGATCTGTGCCCCATGATTACAAAGAGATTTCTCCTTTCCAGCTTTTGCACTGATCCATACCATGTTTACTCATAACAGCAAATATAAGTAAGCATAACCATTTCAACAGCAAAAGTGTTTTGGGGGGATTTTATAATACCTAATTTTCAAGTTTTCTGCAGTATAAGAGCATTTATGCGCACACCGCTCACACAACAGCACAGAATAAATCATGATCCAGCTCATTTCAGAACTAGCTACAGAATGACAGCAAAACTGAATAGTTACACCAAAAAAATAGGCCATTATAGTTTGGGGTTTTTTTTGCCTGGCAAAAAAGGGAAGGGTTTGGGAGGGGAAATGAGGGCCCAGACCCCACACCGGGGCACAGGAGGATGCCAGGAGCGCGATGCGGAAAAGGCTGTGGGGAGGCCGCGGGGGGCAGGCGAGCACTCACTTTCCTCCTTCATCTTCTTCATCTTCTTCATGGCCACGAGCAGGCCCCCGCAGAGCACGAAGGTGGCCGCCAGCGACCGCCAGGACACCAGCTACTGGAAAGGGAACGCGTGAGCGCCTCGCTCGGGGCCCGGGGCAGCGGGGAAGGCTCCCGCGTCCCGGCCGCCCCACCGAGGCCGCCCGCACTCACCTTCCTCTGCGG